AACAAAAGAAAATATTGGCACACAATGTACATAATTCCGTTTTTGACAAGGCAATGACTAGGGCTCCAGAGCAAAACTCCACAATTCTGATAACTTATGAGAAAATATTTATGTAGAAATAAAGACTGGCCTTAGGGGTGCCTGGGTGGCTCAGTCAGTTGGGCTTCTGACTCTTGATTTCAGCTCAGGTCATGATCTCAGAGTCATGAGATTGAGCCCCACTTTCAGCCCCGTGTTGGGTTCTGTGCTCAGCGGGAAGTCTGCTTGAGATTCTTTCCCACTGCACCCCCACCCCCAGATCTGCTCACATGCACATGTCCTATCTCTCTCTCTCTTTCATTCTCAAATAAATACATACATACATACATCTTTTTAAAAAAAAGATTGGCCACATGTAATGTTACATATTATCTAGGGAATGGCATTTAAATAATCTTACAATCATAGCATGTTTCATTCATGGAATCATTTTGAATAAAGTAAGAACACTAGGGAATTTCTCCATTATTTTGGCTACAAAGCCTGCTTGTAGTTAACGAATTGGTTAAAAATTATTGCTAGATAGGCAGATTTCAGGACAGTACCTATTCCTATGTGTAAACACATTAGATAATTTTGTTTACTTTGGGGAGACAGACAATGATACATTTACTAAACTGCTGCACAAACCAAATCTGAGGGGAAAATCATTTGAGAGGTCAAGTATTTGTATGTGCACAAAAATTGAAAGGTTCGTGGAAGCTTATGGAATACAATAGATTTTGAAAACATCCTTAAGGCATTCAAACAGAACCTGCAGACACTCAAACATCAGGTAGTTGAGGACATCCAGACAGATGATCTAGTAGGCAGCTGGGGCTGGAGCAGAGACTCCAAGGTACCACCTCCTGATTCGTCTCCCCTTCTCTCTCCTTGGAGGAACAAATCCAACTGGTCAATGAATAATGCAGCAAAAATTTCTGCTATACTACTAATTTTTTTAAAGATTATATTTTTAAAGTAATCTCTACACCCAACATAGGGCTTGAGCTTACAACCCTCAAGCATGCTCTGTCAAGAGTTGCATGCTCTGTCAAGAGTTGCATGCTCTGTCAACTGAGCCAGGCAGACACCCCTATACTGCTGAATTTTTAAATATCATTCAAGCACTCTACAATTACCTTTCAACTTCTAGTAAATGTCAAATATACCGAAAATAGATTTTTTAAAAAGATTTTATTTATTCATGAGAGACAGAGACATAGGCAGAGGGAGAAGCAGGCTCCCCCTGGGGAGCCTAATGTGGGACTCGATTTCAGGACCCCAGGATCACACTCTGAGCCAAAGGCAGTCGCTCAACCACTGAGCCACCAAAGTGTCCCCTGAAAATACATTTTTATTTAAATTTTGTTCATTAACATACAGTGCAATATTGGTTTCTGAATTCAGTGATTCATCACTTATGTACAACACCCATTGCTCATCACAAGTGTCCTCTTTAATACCCATCACCCATCTAGCCCATCTCCATTCACCTCCCCTCCACCAACCCTCAGTTTGTTCTCTATTGTTGAGAGTCTCTTATGGTTTGTTTGCCTCTCTCCTTTTTCTTTTCCCCCCTCTCCCTATGTTCATCTGTTTTCTTTCTTAATTTCCACATGAGTAGGATCATATGGTATTTGTCTTTCTCTGACTGACTTATTTCATTCAGCATAACATATCCTAGCTCCATCTATGTCATTGCAAATGGTAAGATTTCATTCTTTTTGAAGGCTGAATAATATTCCATTGTGTATATAAACCACTTCTTCTTTATCCATTGATCTGTCATTGGACACTTGGGCTCTTCCTATGATTTGGCTATTGTTGATAATGCTGCTATAAATATCAGGATGCATGTACCCCTTCAAATCTGTATTTTTGTATTCTTTGAGTAAATACCTAGTAGTGCAGTTGCTGGATCGTAGGGTAGTTCGTAGGTAGATCGTACGGTAGTTATGAAAATACATTTATTGAAAATAAATTTGAAACTGTTCAGTATGCAAAGAGAAAACTGATTTGGTGGCATCATAGCATCAGGAATTCAATTTGAGGTAGCAAATGACCCCCTTTTAGAAACTGTTCATGACATTCATAAAGATTTGTAACTTAGAACATAAGCCAAAGGCACACTTTGAAAATCATCTACTCTTAAATGGTGTTTTAAGTGAAATTAATATTTAAGGTGAAATACTGCAGGAATGCAATTCAATGCCCTATAAGCACCAAAGAAGGAAAGTATAACACAAGTGATATGTTAAAAATTTTTGAGTCTTAGTGGTGAGCATGCTGTTCTTTGCAGGTTCGTGTATGTTTGAAAATATCTAATGGTAAAAAGTTTTAAAAACAGCACCTTAATGTCTACCAGCAAACATCCTCAGTTTCCACCCAATCTTTTAAATAATTATTTGGTTACTAAAGTTTATTACTGAAAAAAAAAATCCCTGGGTTCACAGGGAGCTCAGAGTTCATGTTGTCTAGCCCCATGTGGGTATAGAGCCTTGCCCAAATCCCTAGACCTAGATCACCAGGTCTCTCCTTGATTACCTTCTGCAATGGAGAGCTTCCCACCTAATATCTCACAGCCTCCAAAAGTACCTAAAGGTGACCCAGAATCAAAATCACATACACACAGCCACACACTCACACAGTCACTTACACACTGTCATACACACACACATACACACACACACATTCACACAATAAACTGGCGGGTCTGATGATTCTTCAAGCCTCAATCTCTGAAACTGTGAATTACTGTGAACACCTCCAAAGCCTCTACCATCCACAGGGGCTTCAGAAAAGCCAGCCTCCTTCCTTGGCCAGTCTCTACTCTGCAGGGGCCCTTAGCTCCACCCTGCCCCTGTGTGGCTAGCACCCAGCAGAGAGCCTAGGGCAGGAACAGGAGCTGCGGGAAGATTAATTTGGATGCAGAACAGGTTTGAGGAAGTGATGCTTGATGGGAGGGGCCGTGATTTGACAAGAAGATGACCATGCCTATGAGAGTCCAGAATCTGGTGAATGTCTACCATGCCTGGGTGTCTGCTGTCACAGAAAAATTGCACCAAACAAAGTTAAATAGGCACAGGAGACTTCGTTCAAGAGGATGGCAGGGGCACCTGGCTGGCTCAGTTGGTTAAGTGTCTGATTCTTGATCTTGGCTCAGGTCATGAGTTCAAGTCCCATGTTGGGCTCTATGTTGGGTATGGAGCCTACTTAAAAAACAAACTATACCCAATAGAGGAGAGACACTGAGCTTGACTCCACCAAAACAAAACATGGGAAGGATTTTAAGCCCTGGATGGGCAAGTGGAACAGTGCTAGTCAACAGTGGGGGGGGGGGTCCATGGGATGTGTCCAGCACACTATTATTTCTGAGTTTCCAGGTGTTTTTCTCTGAGATCAGGCCATCTGTATTTGCAAACTATCTTCTACTCAATTTCAGCTCCTATCCTCCCACAGAGCCTGGGAGACAGGGTGCTATCTCCCTCGAAGAGGATTTTTCAAAGGGAGGGCTCCCAGGTCCCTGAGAATGGCCTTCCAGGTTGTAAAGCTGCTAAGAGACTGGAAGAAGATTTACCCACATTTCAAAGAGACAGAGAAAGAATTCACAACACCAAGTTTTCTAAAATAAATGCCCTAAGGAGAGGGAGGTCAAGGGCCTGTAGCCAGGAAGGAAAATTTAGTGAAGCTCCAGGACCATTAATGGTCACTGCCATTATGTCAGCCCTGTCCCATCGTCTGTGGGTCTATGAATCTAGGTCTCTGCACGTGCTTGGTGCCCACCCTGCATGGCACAGTGAAGGGTGCGGTCCCAGCAGGCAGCTCCACCAAGAGGCAGAAGTGAGACAGGTCAGGAGGTGCTGACTGGGGGTCTCTACCCCAGCTCCAGCTGCCTGCGGGGGCATCCGTCTGTATGTCCCCCCTGCCCACGGGTCTGTCCGTGTCCTCGGGGAGCAGTGTGCCCCTCTGGTTTTCTGCCTATGTCTCTATCTCCTCCAGTATTTTTCTATTCATTCATTTAGTAATCTAATAAACATTTTTTTTAAAAATTTTTTTTTATTTATTTATGACAGTCACAGAGAGAGAGAGAGAGGCAGAGACACAGGCAGAGGGAGAAGCAGGCTCCATGCACCGGGAGCCCGACGTGGGATTCGATCCCGGGTCTCCAGGATCGCGCCCTGGGCCAAAGACCGGCGCTAAACCACTGCGCCACCCAGGGATCCCCTCTAATAAACATTTATAAATAAATATTTATTAAGTTCTGTTCATCAGGGTGTCTCTCTTCTCAGGTCTGGGTTTGTCTGGGTGTCTACAGTTACATCTGTCCACACTGGATATGACTGTCTCTGCATCCTGTGTGTCACTGCCTCCCCATCTGTCTGTCTGTCTGTCTCTGCTTCTCTGTTTGTATATTCATTGGTTCATTCATTCATACAACATTGCAAACATCCCCGAGGCCTCTGAGGAGTTCTCAGCCTGACAGGGGATACAGATAGGGTGACCATGGCTGGGAGACAGGGAGATGCCTGAGGCTGAGAGTGGGTGGATGAGTGGAGGAGACCTGGGTCATAAGAGGCTTCTAGGAGGAGGTGATGGTATTGGTCTGGGTCTGGGTCTGGAGATATGGGCCCAGCATTGGAGGGTGTGTGTGTGTGAGTTTATGCATAATGTGTGTTCCAGGATAGAAAGAGAAGAGAAATAAAGAGACCATATGTACCAACCTCAGACTGGAACACAATGTGGGGTTCAGGGTTGAAAGAGATACTGCAAATAACAAATTCCCCAAATTACAGGTTATAGGACTCTAGCTCCCTCTTCCCTCAGACCGGGAAATCCAGACCCCAATCCCTCTCCCTCCTCAGCACCAAGGACTCATCATGGCCCCATCATGATTACCTAGGAGGAGACCAGGAAGGGCGGGGGTGGAGGAATCCTGGGCAGGCTGGAGAGCCAGGATGCCTGGGGCTCAGCAGGGAGAACCAGCCAGACAGAAATCAGAGAAGGAGGAGCTGTCCTGGGTGTCTCAGCTCAGCTCCACAGCTGACTATGGGAGCCCCCAGAACCATCCTGCTCTGTCTCTTTGGGGCTGTGTTCCACCTAACAGGTACTCAGACTTTTGAGATAGGTGTTAAGAACGGTGGGGGGCTGGACTCCTGGGTCTGAAGAAGGAGGGGGCTGGGGGGCCTGGACTCCTGGGTCTGAGGGAGGAGGGGGCTGAGGGTCTGGACTCCTGGGTCTGAGGGAGGAAGGGGCTGGGAGCCTGGACTCCTAGGTCTGAGGGAGGAGGGGTCTGGGGGTCTGGGCTCCTAGGTCTGAGGGAGGAGGGGCTGGGGGCTGGATCCTGGGTTTTGGTGGAGGAGCAGCCTGGAGACTGTGTCCTTCTCATGCGTCTTCTCTGTTCTCCCATCAGTCATCTATCTTCTCTGGCATCTCTCTCCCCATCCCTGCAGCCTCTCATCCTCCTTGCCCACTCCCCCTTCAGAGGTACTTCTGGGGAACCCTGGGGGCTCTTTCCAGAACTAGCTGAGAACTTTGGCCTCATCCTCAGGCAACCCCTTCCCCTAGTTTGGATAAGGACAAGGACATAGTTGGGAGCAGAGCAGGAGAGGAGGCTAAGCCTGCACCCCGCCCATTGTGTATCTGTCTGCTTTTCCACAGAAGACACTTTGAGTTACGTGTGTGTCTTCGTGGGTGTGCCTGCTGGGTCTGTGTGCATGTGTCTGTTTCTCCATACCAGATTTCATATGTGAATAAGAGTTTGAACAAATGCTTTATGGGTCTGTTTTTCTCTGAGTTTCACTTTCTTTGTAAAAGAGATGTGTGTATAATTCTGTATATCCATGTCTCTTTGTGTTTGTACATCCATGTGATTGGCAGGCCTGTATTTATCTCTGTGTTCATATGTTCGGGTATTTTGATGTGTGTCTGTCTCTCTGTGTGTCTGTGCCCCATGTCTCTCTGTGTCTTGTATCTGTCTATGGTTTAAAATTGTATGTTCTGGGGAGCGCCTAGGTGGCTCAGTTGGTTAAGCATCTCCCTTTGGTTCAGGTCATGATCCCCGGGTCCTGGGATCAAGCACTGGGCTCTGTGCTCCATGGGGAGCCTGCATCTCCCTCTCCATCTGTTTCTCCTCCTGCTCCTGTGCTCACGTTCTCTCTCTCTCTCTCTCAAATAAATAAATAAAATCTTTTTTATGTTTTTGTAGGTCTCTTTTCTGTATCTCTAACTTTGCATAGTTGTGGTCTCTCATATTATTTGCATGTCTATGATTCTTAAGACTATATTTGTCTCTCTCTGGGTATGACTTCTTATGTCCCTGGGTCTCTCTGCATGTTGTTTTTGTTTCTGTTTTGTTCCACACATTTTTCTGTCTGCTAGTATGATCTTGCATATGTCTAGGTTGGGAGAGTTTCCACTGGAGGGCCTGGGTGGCACTGCTTTTATGTGTGATTGTAGAACTCTGCTGTTGAAGCTCAGGATACTCTGTATGTGTTTGTGAGATTTGCATAAGCCCGTGTCAATTTAGTTACTTTGTGTTTATGTCACTGTTTTAAGTGTTTTGTGTGTGTCTGTCTCACTGGGGCTGCCTATATGCATATATTTGCAGTATAAGATTGCACAGCCCATTGCCTATGCTGGAGTCTGTTTTCTACCCACAGCCTTTTAGTGCTACTGGACATCCTGAGTTGAATTTGGCAGAGAGGCTGGCAGAGCAGGAGTGAATCACTTCCTCCTTTATTTAAATCTTAGAGGGCTTCCTGGAAGAGGGTGGAGATCCAGAACAGCTTGGGGAGGGAAACCGGACTGGCAGATGCACAGAGGTCATTATTCTGCCAGAAGGTAGAGGCTGTGGTGACCAAGCACGGCAGCAGACCCTAGTTCTCTCTAGGCACCAAGGCCTGGCTCCCCTCGGAGCAGAGCCCCCTGGCTCCGAGGCTGTCGTTTGCTAGGGGGCTGAGGATGGGGGTGGGGGGGTTCCTGGACCAGGCTCACGTCTGTACTCCGGCCCCCCCAAGCTCCTCTCACCCCATCCAGCCCTCTTCTCTCCTCAGCGTCCCAGGCCCAGCAATGCTACAGCTTTCAACACATCTACTTCGGGCCCTTTGACCTCAGCGGCATGAAATTCCACAATGTCTCCTGTCGGCACGGATGCTCTGAGGCTGTCCTGTCCCTGGACACTGGTGAGGGACAGGAAGTGGCAAGGGGCGGAGGTGGACGAAGGGAGGAGGAAAGGGGGAGAGAGAAAGACTGGGGTGGGAGAGGGGCGCGCGGTGGGGTAGGAGGAGACTGTGGGAGCCCGGAGGAGGGGAGCAGAGGAGGAGAAGGTGGAGTAGGGGAAGGGAGTTTCAGGGAGAGAGGAAGGAGAGGGAAGGGCAGCAGGGAGAGGCGAGGTGAGTGCGAGAGAGAAGAGTGAGATAGAGGACGAGGAGGTTAGAGACCCGGAGGAGGAAGGCTGGGACCAAGCAGCGCCCCAGGCCCCCGTCCCCTCCCGCCCCCAGGGTACCGCGCCTCAGTGACCCTGGTGCAGAAGGGCTGCTGGACCGGCCCGCCTACGGGCCAGACGCTGTTCGACGACCGGGCGCTGCCGCCTGACTACTCGGTGGTGCGCGGCTGCACGACTGACTTGTGCAACGCCAACCTCATGACCCACGACTCCATCCCCAATCTGAGCCCGGGTGAGCCGGAGGGCGGGGGTGGCCACGGGGTGGGCTGGGAGGGGCCCCGACCCCGGCGGGGGAAGGGGCATGGCCTCCACTGGGCGCCTCCTCCCGCCGGCTGGGATTCAGGCTTTCTAGTCTGTGAGGCGTGGCGGGCGCCCCGATGCAGTGCGCCACCCACACGACCGTACCTCGCAATCATTACCTGAGTGTGCGTCTACACTCTCACGCCAGCGCCCAACCCTCCAAATCTCAGCGGCACGGAATGCTACGCCTGCTTGGGGATCCACCCGGAGGACTGCACCCCAGAGAAGTCCCGACAAGTCCGCTGTCACCAGGACCAAAGCGTCTGCTTTCAGGGCAATGGCCAAATGACCGTCGGTGAGGGGCTGGGAGCAGGGCAGAGCCTGGGCAAAGGATGTGAAGGCAGGGGAGGCCTGAGGGTAGCGGCACTAGACAGGCCTGACGGAAACATGGCCATTGGTCTGAAGGGGGAGGCGTGACTCTTGAGGTGGAGGTTCAAGTGCAGCTGCCTCTCTCTATTCTAACCCTCTCCTCGCTGCCCCCTCCCCTCCAGGCAATTTCTCAGTCCCTGTGTACATCAGAACCTGCCACCGGCCCTCTTGTACCATCAAGGGCACCTCCAGCCCCTGGACAAACATCGACCTCCAGGGCTCCTGCTGTGAGGGGCACCTCTGCAACAAGGACTCGGTGACCCAGCCCTTCACCTCTGCCTCAGCCACCACCCCTTCCCAGGCGCCCCACATCATGGCCCTGCTCCTCATGGTCCCCCTGCTGGTTGGCACTCTGGGAGGACCCCGTGTGCCTCTCCCTTAAACAGCCCCTCCAGCCTCTTTATGAGCAGGATGCTGGGGGCAGGCATGCCCCTGCTTCTCGCAACTTCAGCCTCTGTAATGTGGCTCACTGGGAAATGTTGTCAAACAGGAGTTGCACTCCTGTCTCTCTCTGCTACCCACCCCCCACTTCCCCACCCCCATCCTGTCCATACCTGATCAGCAGACCTGGGACAAATTGGGAAAGGACCCCATCATCCCAGGGTGGGGAGAAATAGCCACATCTTTGCCCACATGAAGAGCAATTCTGACAATAGCTATTACTGAGCACCAGTGAAGCCCTGGCACCCCACAACCCGGTTTCCTGTGCTGTGCTTCTGGAGCCAGCAGAGAACTATGATAATGTCTTTATTCATATCAACATGAGAAGTTCAAGAGGCAGCATATCCTAGAAGCTAGGAACCAAAACTCTGGAGCCAGCCTGCATGGGTTTGAATCCCAGCTCTACCATCTAGCCTGTGGCTAGTTACTCAATCTCTCTACACATGCTTCTTTGCCTATAAGGCAGAGGTGAAAATAAAACCTACAATAATGACAAGCCCTACTTCGAGGTGGTTATGGTCAGAATTTAATGAGATGAACAGGGACTGGTTGGGACACAATAGCCTGTCCAGCGTGAGTGGACTATTATGATGCCCATGAGCAAATGAGAGGTGAAGCCACTTGCTCAAGCTCATGTATCTGGTGAATTAAGAGCCAGGAGTGTGCCTCTCAACCTCATCATTTGCTAGGCAAGTCTACCTTCCAAACACGCAAGTCTTGATTAATTTGACAGAAAAGCACTCGAGGTGAGGCTGAACCCGGAAAAATTCACCAACCTAAAAAAAAAAAAATTCACAAACCTGTGAAGACTGGGGAAGATATCCTGGAAGAAGTGAATCATAAGCAAACTCCTAAAAGATAAAGAGCTCCTTTTTTTTAGATTTTATTTATTTATTCATGAGAGACACAGAGAGATAGGCAGAGACATAGGCAGAGGGAGGGAACCCTATGTGAGACTCAAAGGCAGACACTCAACCACTGAGCCACTCAGGTGCCCCTAGGATAAAGAGGTCTTGGCAAAGAGCAACAGGAGGAAGGACTTTCTAGGTGGAAGAGACAGCCTGGACACAAGTCTGGAGGTAGGAAGGAACACAGGGCAGGCGGATACGTACATAAACTCATGGACTTCACACACATGGAATCCCACAGCATGTCCTCTTGTGCACATGCTCTACAATGTCCTTTCACATCCTGTTCCCCACTTAATCCTCCCAAAGAGTCAGAAAGGCACATAAGAAAGGGAGTTGCCTTGCCATTAGGCAAACAAGTTGCCCAAGACACAGTGAGAGGCAGTGATTTTCAGAGTAAGTGGCAGAGCAAGGATTGATCCCTGCATCTTCTGACTTCCTTAATGGGAAGCCTTATGAAGACAAGTCATCTCAGAGATGCTCCTACCCTCCTGTGAGGTCAAGGGGAGAAGTTTCCTAGATGTCTACACATTCTGACATAGAAGTAGAAGCTGAAAGTCAATATCCATTCATTCATCACATTTACTGAGCACCTACAGTATGCCAGACACCGTCCTAGTTTCCAGGCATTCATCAGTGAACGGAAACAGGCAAAAGTCCCTACCTTCAAAGAACTGATCTTTCTAGTGTGGAAGCAGACTTTGGATTTTTATTGCAAATGTGGTTTGAAGCTGAGATGGTCAATCTGATGGGTCCACTTGCTAGGCTACATACAGTCTCAGTCACTCAAACACTAATCTCAGCATAAATGCAAAGGTATTTTGTAGATGTGATTGTAGTTCATGGTCAGTTGACTGTGAATCAGGGAGATTATCCAAAATCATCTAGGTGGGCCTGGGTCAGCCAGCTGAAAGTGCCTTAAAAGCAGAATTGAGGCCTGCCAGAAAAAGAAATCTGCCTATGGACAGCATCTTCAGCCCATGCCCAAGAGTTCCAGCTTGCCTCTTCTGACAGCCTGCCCTATGGATTTTGAACTCACCTGGCCAGGCCACACAATCACATAAGCCTTGCCATAAATCTCTTAGCTTAATATATATCTCCAGCTAGTTCTCTTTTTCTGGTTGATCCCACACCGGTACAGAATTCATTGGAGAATTTATAGCAGGGAGCTGCCATGTTTCATATGATATATGTCATATATTATATGTATAGTATATTATTACTTCTTATGTAGTATGTACATAATGTTATATATTGTAATATATCCATATAATGATATGTGTATATAATTACATATAATATAAAACATATAATAAAATGCACAATGTGCCATTTTTCCATATGTATACACCTGAGGAACCTCCACTAGATCAAGATACAGAATATTTCTGGTCTTGTCCACAAAGCCTGCCACATAGCCCTTTACAGGCACCTCCTCCCCTGGAGGTAGCCACTACTCTGGCTTCTATCATACATCAATTTTGCCTAATATTGAACATCACATAAATGGAGTCATATAGCATGTCCCCTTGTGTACATGCTTTACATTTTAAAAAGATCCTTATGACTGGGGTGCCTGGGTGGCTCAGTCAGTTAAGGATCTGTTTTTGGCTCAGGTCATGCTCTCAGGTTCCTGGGATCAAGCCTCACATCTGGCTCCCTGCTCAGAGGGGAGCCTGCTTCTCCTTCTCCTTCTGCCCCTCTCTCTGCTCATTCTCTCTCTCTCTCCTAAATAAATAAAATAAAATCTTTAAAAAAGATCCCCGTGGCAAGAGTGGGTAGTCCACCTTCAATTCAATGGAACCACTGGTGTGTCCTCTAGTGGAAGCATTCTTTCCTTGGGAAATAAGACTCCAAACAACCAAAGCTCAAGGTTATGGGGAACAGGAAGCAAAAATTCTGCAAGTGAGTGGTAGGAGTAACAGTGAGAGGATCCCCTGCCACCCCTGGATACCCAGACTCATGTTCTCAGGCTGTAAAATGGTCATCACCCCAAAGCTTATGCTGTACCCTATAAGACACAGCCCCATCCTTTCAAGGTATTGACTCCCATCAGGCAACAATAACTTAGTCATCCCATTGTTTTATCAGGTGAGATTCTTTTAGGTGAAGATATATGAGACAGGACCAGTGAAATGCATGGGCATGAGTCCATTGCCACACTTCATTTATTGTATAAAGAGATCCCTGGTCAGAAGCAACACTGTGTGGAAGACCCAGTGGAGAAGAAAACATTGTGCAGTCCTGGGGAGGGAATTTATGTAAGTAGGAGAAGAAAGGAGAGCCCTTAATCCTCTAGTTGTCCATCTACTGCTTCAGATGTGGATCTTGTAGATGAAGCTGAAAGGTGGTAAGAGAACAGCATTAATTTACCAAACCTAGATTTATATACATAGGTATCCATCATTCAATGTGATCCTCTGTTCCCAGCCATGCACTGGGCCCTGGGGCCCTGGAGGTGACTCTCAGGCCTGGAGGAGCTCCTAGTCTGATGTGAGGGAGGCAGATCCACACTCAGACAGCCACAAGCCTATGGTGGAGGGACATGCATGTATAAAAGGACACAGTTGGAGAGGAATATGTTGAAGCTGCTGCCAGAGGGAGGAGAACCTGGGGACATGTCTTAAAGCATGCCATATGGACAGGGAAGGGAACAGAATTCCAGGCAGAGGGACTAGCCAATTCAAAGAGAGAGAACACAAAAATAGAAGTAATCTCAGGAGAGAGTCCACAGATATTTATAATTCATTCTTCTGTGCTGGGAGATCCTGGTGAATCCTACCCTGGAGGACTTCTTGGTCTGATGGTGGATACAGGCTAGCACCCAGATGGCCATAGACCTCCAATAGATTGGGGGTGGGTGGGTAAATAGGGAGTGGTTGGATTAGAAGCTAATAGGTAAAGAAGATACCTCTGATTGAGGGTTGAGGCAATGGAGCATCAGGGTGGCTACATAGAGGACAAAACCTGTGTTGGGTCCTGAAGGATGAGTAGAAGGTTATCGTGTGGACAGAGTGTGGAACAACATTTAGGCAGAGGGACAAGCCCATGCCAAGGCCTCAGGAAATGTTTGCTAAATTGCAAGAAGACAGCAGAACAAAGGCAGGCGCAAGTAAGATACAGAGAGAGCTGCAGGGAGGGACAGTCAGAAAGCATTTATCATCTATTCTGACCTCGATGATGCCAGGGACCCAGTAATGAGTCAGATCCAACCCTGCTGTCCTGGTCTGGAAGGAGACAGTGAAAAACCCTGAGTCTCACAAGTGGTAAAGTATGAGGTATGAGGGCGCTAAGGGAGCTCCAAAGGGGAAGACCAGGGAAGGCTATTGACAGGAATTAATCTCTGAAAAGATATCTAAATAACTAATAGGAATTGGCAAAGCAGCCAGAGGAAGGGCATTCCAGGTAGGAAGGACAGTACTCACAAAGGCTTGGTTTGTATATACAGTGTGAGGAAGGATGATGAGGATGAAGAGAGTGGCAGGGTCCCCAAGGGCTTAAAGTGTCAGGTGAAGACAAAATTCCCTGAACTTGTCCCTACAGCCAATGGGGATCTATGGAAGGACTTAGAGCAGGGGTACAGCATGGTGGAAGCCCAGTGTTGGGAAGCTCTCCCTGTGACCATGCAGGGGACAGACTAGGGGGAGTAAGACTGGAGGCAGGGAAAAGAGAGAGGAGACTGGTCTCTCATTCAGGGCCAGGGTCCATTGAGTGTTGAAGGGTTGGAGGGAGAAGGAGGGAAAAAGAAAACAGAGTGTGTGAGGGCTGTGGGTTAGGAGGAGTAAACTTCCCATAAGTGGAGGTAGTGGTTTCCTCTGGAAATTGGGAAAGGATTGTTGTCACAAATAACACCAAGAAAGGTTCTAGGGAGGAACAATATAACAATATTCTCTCTGGGTGCCCAGGGTGATTTCACAGGGGTTCACAATATGATTATTTGTCCAAAATATACCTCTGAATGTTATGTACTTTCTGCACGTATGTACATTTCATACAAAAAAAATAATGCCAACAGCAAAGTTAAGGCCAGAGCCCAGGTCTTTGGACTCCCATATGGTGGCTTTTTAATCTTTGGTGATAGACGTCAGAATAGTGACCATCCCTGGTGTGTCAGTTGGGAGCAAGAACAAGAAACCCTGTTGTGACAAGAGAGATGCCCTATGGCTTGATCAGGTGCTGGTCACACATGCCCATACACAGAGAGAGCTGCATCAATCTGCGCGCTTAAGATTTTCAAACCTTACAATGTGTAAGCTGTAACTTAATGAAAAGAAACAAAATTCAAAATACGACATATAATTAAATGATATCATGTCTGGGATTTGCATTAAAATAATAGAGGAAGTGAGGAAGTGGGTGGAGGTGAAATGCAATTAGCCATGAGTTGGTAGTTGTTAAGTGGGTACATGGTGGTTTATTATACTCTTCTTTTCACTTCTATATGTTTGAAGTTTTCCAAAATAAAAGTATATATATATGAATGTATGTATATGTGAATAGATAAGCATGTAAATAGTTAAGACAAATACCTACTGAATGCACAGTGACCTGGGCATTCCTTCCCTTAGGAACTCAGATGTATGCCTTTTCTCAG